CTTTTATATTTCATTATTGTATTGTGGGTACTTGGAAGTGTGGGCACTGGTTTCTGTGGCTGGAATTTGGCTGTAGGGTAGTTCAAGAACTGGAAGTTGGTTCTTGGTGAAGGTTTAGGTGCAAGGACTGAAATTTTGGTTCTTGTGGTAGATTGGGTGTGTGATTGGGTTGTAATCTGTAAAACATTCAATCTAGTGGAACTCAGCTGGAATTTGGCTGAGAACTGGACGTAGCCCTAGCATTGGGTGAACCAGTATAAATCTTGATTGTATCTCTCTAAACCTTTTTCTCTTTAATTATGTTGTTGTCTTTATTTTGATTGTTTGTTTTGCTTGATTCAAGAATTGGTCAGAACTCTTAATCTTTGAAATAGATAATCTGTAATTTACGAAAATCTTTCAAAGATCAATTCACCCCCCCCCCCCTCTTGATCTCAGCCTCCTTTTCTAACATGACTGACTTAGGATCTTTAGGGTTAGAACTTTGTAGGAAATTTAGGAAATTAGTGAGAAGGTGGATTAGAAAGTAGTGAAAGTTTTAGGGTTGGGCAGAATTGAGTTTTCTGAGTTTTGGTGAAGAAAGAACGAAAGGTGAATGTGAAAGGTCGAAGGAAAGAATCACTCTTCCCAAAAGAGGCAACTCACAAAGGATGTGAAAGTCCTTTGATACAGGAAAAAGTTCTTGAATCACTCAAGAACTTAGGAGAATCAATCTCACTAAGATAAAAGAGTTAAACTCTAATATTTCTGAATAAATATCAACTTGTCTTTTTGATAAAAATGGTTCAACTTATATAAAAGTTTTGTCATCAGAGTTACAAAAATTCAATAAAGGAAAATAAATCCTAATAATGATCCATTAATATAGGAATTGAAAACTACTTATTGAAGGCAAATAAATTTTAATAATGATCCATTAACCTAAAAACTACTTAATGAAGGCAAATAAATGTTAATAATGATTCATTAACCTAGAAATTGAAAACTACTTGATGGTTGATTATAATTGAAATTGTGACAACCAAAAATCAATAAGTTATGCATTGTCTTAGGTTGATGTCAAAGTTTCCAATTAAGCCCTTATTACAACTTAAAATAAAACCAAATTAAAGTCTATTAATTGATTAACCCAAAATATAATTTGGTCAACCAATTTTATAAAGTATTGAGTCATTATTTAAACAAACTTAAATACTAAAACAAAGTGACACATTAGTCTTCCTCCATTTAGGTCATGATGCAATTCACAACCTTGTCTTTTCACCTTGAAATATGGGCTTGTATTCAAATAATATGGACAATACTTCTTGAAGAATTTTCTTTGTTTTCCTTAATCTAGCCTTTGTTATAAGTCCTTCAAATCCTTCAAGTGAATCTTTACCTTTGTTTAGATTCATGTTCCCGTCACCTCATGAACATCTTCATCTTTTATACTTGTCTTTCTTCTATTTTCTCCATATAAATTCCTAAAAGTATAGGTGATGTTTTAACCACCATTACTAGAAACAAGTTGTGCTTTAGAATTTATTCATTTACCTAATCTATTATATGTTTTAGGTAGATCTTTTTTTGAAAATTAATCGTACTGAAATTATTGATTTTTTCAAAGTCTACTTTATTATTAAATCCTAAAATTTACAATCAATTATTAGATAAGATACTTTCTCTTTATCGACCAAAATATTTAATATTTAAAAAAACATATTAATTTAATATTCACAATTATTTTATTAATTTTGAATTTAACTAATTATATCATGTTAATTTGAAAAATATCACGTATAAACACACCGAAAATACCTGAAGTGAATAAGTACATTTTATTAGAGAGTAGTAAAAGAACTATATTTAAAAACAAAATAATATATTTACTAAATGTTAAATATTGAAAATACTAAAAAAAATAAAAATAAGGTGTCAGTTTAAATATAAACAAATTTTAGGGATACCTGACAAAAAAAATACTATATTACTCTTATTAAATTATTTAATGTGGTAACAAAAATTAAAGTTTTCAATATTCTTAGAAAAATTATATAAATATTCTTAAAAAATATTTTTAATAATCAAAGAAATTTTAGTATTTTATGCGAATAAAATTTTCAATATTCATATTTGATACGGTTTTAAATATGAAATATCTTTTATGTAACTAATTAAGAAGAGTCATTATGGGGAAATCTGATTTATAATAAATTTTAATCAATAAAAAAATTGTTAAAAAATTTATGCGAAAAAAATGTATTGTAATATTTCTTTTCTAATAAACGCCACCATGTAGCAACCATGTAACACGGTGAATTTTTTATTTTATTTTTTTATCTAAACCCTAAATTTTGAACCAAACTCATGTTACCAGTTAGGAGTATTCGTAATTTGGTTTAATTCCGTTTTTTTTTTTCATCAAACAAGTACGTGTGAACCAATCATTAAAATCAACTGAAGTTTGGTTTAACTCATTTTTTAATTTATATAAAATCCGAATCAAACCAAAATCATATTGGTGACTCGATTATATAGTTTTTATTACTACAAAATTGTTAAAACTCTACAACATTTTCTTAAAAAATGGTTAAACATTTTATAAAGAAATATATTGTAAAAAATTGATATAATTATCATTATATTCATAATTGTAATTTATTTTACAATTTATAAATAAATTATACACTCATAAATTGAAACCTACAATCTAAAGTTAATTAAAAGTATAAATATACTATAAATAAAATATCATCAAACAATTAAATAATCTTCAAGAAACATAATTATGTATATTTATTAGTTGATATTTAATTCTAAATATGTAATTAATACTATACTTCAATACAATAAAATATATTTTAATTTTTAATGCAAAATCTAAATTATTGTTTTAGAAAAATAATAAAATAATCCAATAAAATTTCAGTTTTTGTCAGGTTTTATATTTTAAAAAATTTATGGATTTTTTTTTCATCACTTCAATTTTGAAGATATTTTTTGAGTATATAAATTTTTTTGTCACGAAAGTTAATTTTATTGTTTATAGTTTGTGAGCAGTTTTATCATAAAATTTTAAATGTTTTGAGGTTCTTAAAGGATTTTTATGACTTCACTAGGAAATAAATCAAATTAAATGTCTTGTGACGGAGAAATTTTTTTACCATGTATGATATATATATATATATATATATATATATATATATATATATATATATAAAATTATTAATAATATGTATATGTTTAATAATGGCATAAAATAATATAAGATTAAATATATTTTAATTATGTTTAATGATATTTTATATTATAAAAATATCAATTATTACATTATATTATTTATATTATAAATTATTAAATAATATTTTTAATATTATTAGTTAAAGAGTTAAATTTTATTTTATTATATATTTTTTGAAAAGTAAGTATATAATTTTTTATAGACATTTTTAAAAATTAATCTTTTTTTTATTTTAATATTAAACATTGTAGAATATTAAAATAATTAATTATAATAAATAATACACATAAAAATATATTATAATAGTGAATAAAATAATAAAAAAGTTGTTCACAATTTAAAAATGATAATTTTTTATATTGGAAGATGAATTCGTAAAAAAGAAAGGTATATAATTAAAATATAAAAGGAAAAATATAAATATTTAAAATTAAACTATAAACAGAGAAAAGGGTGAAAATAATTATTTTTATATTATATAAGTTCCTGAAGTTACTTTTGTATTTAATCATGTCAAATCATCTAAAATTACACTATAAAACTGTAAAAAAGAAAACTATAAAATGTGAACTTTTGTAAAATAAAAACTATATTATAAAATTTCCTTTTTATTTGTCTATTTTTAAATTTATTTTATTAAACAAACATTAATGAAAATGTTAATAATTAATATTATTTATTAATGTAGGCTTTAATTACTAACAAAATTATTAAAATATTTACTAATCAAATAATTATTAAAATTAATACTTGTTAAAAAATTATTAATTACACTTCATTATAACTATTAAAACATTTATTAAATAATTATTAGTAAAAATAATATTTTTTATCAATTAAATAATTATTATTTAATAATTGCACATTTAATCAAAACTTAAAAAAAGTATTATTTTATATGCATATGAGTTCTACAGAACTCAAAATTAAAAATAATTTATATATCTGCCAACTCATTCAAACGTTTCTTAAAAATAAAATTACGATGAACTATATTTTTAAAATAAAAAAATACATTATACATGATAATACATACTAATGATGATAATATCCTCCTAAATCTCAAACATTAAGAGTGGATGTTAAAAAAATTATATTTATTATTCTCTTTTAATTCACTAATAATCTTTTTAGAAAGAAAATACAATACATTTAATATAATAGAGAATAATATATAGGAGTTTATTCCTAAACCAAAAAAATAGAATGTAAGTTTTAAAAATAAATTCAAAAAAGAAAAAATGAATTCTGTTCTGCGAGACTGAATTCATAATGCTAAACGGCATTCGTGGTTAGAAAATAAAACATTGGGAAAAGTTGTTACTTTGGGAATTTCATTTTTTATTATTTTTAAATAAAACAAAAAAAAAAACAAAATTTGGTAATTGCACATCTTACAGCCCAAACATCAACTTGCACATTTATTTGATCTTTTATTTTGCCGGGCAGCTCGACCTTCAATGTATTGAAACCTAACCTTCTGAACACGCTGCCCGCTGCCCGTAACCTAAGTGGCAAGTGGTGCAGCAGCCTCACTAATGCTTTGCCCTAGAACTACACTTGGATCCCCTATAAAAGCGCTCATTCTCTTCTCATCTTCCACTTCTGTTCTCCCTTTTTAACATGGATCTACTTTCATTTCATTACATAGTGTTTGATTTATTTTTTTTTATCTTCTCTGGCCTTCATATTTATATGTTGAAATGATGTTCTATTCATCATTTCTTTAATTTTTGTTCTTTCATTAGTGCTCTTTTCTTCTGGTGGTGCAAAAAACTTCCATCCGCATGTGACACATAATGAGCATGACGGCCATATTTTGCACAAATCGAGTTTTGAGAGCTTGAAGCACCAATTGTGTCCTTTAAGCTGCTTCTAAGAAGAGGTTCATGTGGTTCTTTCCAAGTCGCAGAACCCTCTTTTGAATTAAGAAGCATACACCTTTCTTGTTTTTTTATTGTACAACCAAACTCTTTGTTCATCTAGTTCTCTTCGAGGACTATGAGGTTTCACACTTGAAAACTTTTACCCAACAGTTTCACCTAGGATGGACAAGCCAAAAATGAAAAAAAAAAAAATAACTAAAAAGTCCTGTGGCTTTTGCGTGCACCTTTCCTTACCACCAAGCAAAAGGACATAAATTTGACACTTGAAAGAGACCGGAAAAGGAATAAAAGGCATATTCTATCATCAGGATTTTGTTTTTCTAATAAACATCACTTTTCTAGCAAAGTGGCGGAGTTTCGTGTAAATGGAAGGGGATGAGGTGGGTTTTTGTCTTTCCTAATTTTTATTTTTCATATTTTTAATTATTTTTAATTTTCTATCAATATTATTTTTTAAAAATAATTATATTTATAATAAATTAATTTTATGTATTTTTTTATATAAATAAATATTTATAATTTATAATTATTATTAATTAAATATATTTTTTAATTTATTATATTTATATCAAAATATTTATAAAAAATAATTTTAAAATATTAATATTTAAAAATTTAAATTTAAATATAAATATCAATATGGAGACAAAAATTATATTACACCTTCTCGTCTTTCTTCATGTTTTGATTTTTTTCAAAATAAGGAATATTTTGAATTTATTTTTGATTTTGTCTTCTTTATCAAACTTAAGACAGAATCGATTGGTTTTCATGAATATGCATTTAATTATAACAGTGTAAAGAACCATGAGTTTTAAATAAAAATTTAAAAGATTAAAGTGAAATTTTTTAAAATTATTTTTTATTTTTTAAATTTAAATTTATTATTTAAAGACTGAAATAATATTATATTAAATTTAAGCGACTACAATAAAAAAGAAAAATAATTTACAAAGTTAAAACATTTTGGTAAAGTCTATTGTAGGGTACTGTAAAAGTAAAACTGAGGTAGGGTCCAGTTTTGTAGGGGATATATACAAGTTGGTTTATGGGTAATGGATATGAGATGGGTAGGTTTTCAAGTCCCAATTAATCGGATTCTTTAGGTAAAGATTGAAGTGTTGTTGGTCTTTCACGGAGAAATTAAATTCCATTTGATCATAACTGTGTGTTTTTGTTTCGCAACAGCTTGTAAAAAAAGAAGAAAGCAAATTAGAAATCTGGATTAAATACAGAATAATGTTTGTCTATAATTCCTCAAATGAATTGATTCTTCTTAGTTTTTGGGGTATGAAAATGTTAAAATAAAAAATTCCCTTTTCATATCTCATTATGTAGATAATTTATTTTTTTAGACTAAAAAACATGTTATATCAATACACAACACAATATCATAGTCATGGGGCAACCTCCCACAATTATATATATATATATATATATATATATATATATATATATATATATATATATATATATATATATATTAAAAATTAAACAATTTTTATTTTATAAATATAAATAAAATTTAATTTTGTGTCTTTCTCTCTCTAATTTTGTCATTATAATAAATATTATATTTATTCTTTTTACATAACTTTTCACTTAAATATTTTTTTATTTTTATATTTTCTTTTCTCACGTTTTCATTTTTTTTCACTTTAATTTTTTTTATCATATACTTATTTTATCTATTTCACATTTTCATCTTTTTCTTTGCCTTACAACATAAAATATATAATTTTTTTCTCTTGTTTTTAATTTTTTTCCTATTATATTTACAGTATAAAATTTATAATTTATTATTCTTTAATTTTTTATTCTGTTAAAATTGAAACATATGATAAAATGGTAAAAAATAAAGAAAATATCTTACAATAATATTTTTTGAAGTAAAAAAATAGCAAATAAATTTATTTTCTTTATTATTTTTGTTTATTATTATATTAGCATATATAATATAGTATAAATAAATAATTAATTTTAAATTATTTTATCATAATAAATCAATTACTCATTTAATTAAAAAATATCAAATATTTATGAATTAAATGCATTTTGTATTTAGTAATATAATCTAGTTATAATTAGGTTGAATTATGATGATTAGTTATATTAGATAATTTAACAAAATATTTATTAAAAAATTACTTTAAAATAAATATTTAATTTTTTAACAATTATAACAATAATTTGTAATACCTGTTGAAAGTCCCACATCGCCTACCTCATATCATTTGGTATGGTTTAAATACATGTTAGGCTACTCCACATATTGCCAATTGGTTTTATGTTGGAACCTTAACATGGTATCGAGCCAAAGCCTAACATCTTTCAGGTTATTGTCATGGGCCAAAAGTTGCCCTTTAGTTGGGTCAAAAGTACCCTTTGCACTGTCCGTGAGCTTCGTTGGAGGGGTGTGTTGAAAGTCCCACATCGCCTACCTCATATCATTTGGTATGGTTTAAATACATGTTAGGCTACTCCACATATTGCCAATTAGTTTTATGTTGGAACCTTAACAATACCAAATATTTATAATATAATATTTTTTAAATATAATATATTAAATTATAATAATTTTGGATAATTTAAATATTTTTATTCTTAAAAATAATAAAAAATCAATTTATCAAATTTTAATTTAATATTATTAATTAAAAAAATAACATGACTGATAAAAGGACCAAAGAGAGAGAAAGAAAATGATATAAAGAAAAAAGAATAACAAGAAATAAACAAAGAGAGAAAAAAATAGAAAAACAAATGAGAAAAGAAGGTAAAATGATTGTATTACTATGTTAGAGGAATTTAATTCCAGTAGAATTTGTCTATCAATAGTAAATGAGTCTAATTGGAAAAATAAATTTATACGAATCCAATTTAAGTAATTTAAAAAAAATATTATTTATGAAATTGATTGAGTAAGAAACAAGAGGTGATGAAATAAATTTTATTTTTTAAAATTTAAATTTAATTAATAAAATTAAATATTTTATATAATATATTTATTTTTATATGATAATTAATTTTTATATAAAATTTAAAGTTCTATCATTCCTGTAAGCAAGAAAAATGTAAAAAAAAAAACTAAAATCAAAGTTAATATAATATATATGTTTGTTTGATAGAGATAATATATATATATATATATATATATATATATATATATATATATATATATATATATATATATATATTAGACAGATTGCATGAGAACTGTCCTGTCTAAGAAAAGGGTATTAAGAAAATGTTTAACAAACATTTTTCTTACAATAAAAAGAAGTCTCTGTTTTTTTTTTTTTTTTTTTTTCTCTTTTAAACATGACTTTATGTTAATTGTTCATTCAAACAACTCTTTTCTATTACATTACATGTCTGATAACTTAAATACACTCTCCTAAAAAATAACCAATTTAAGATTATTTTTACAGTAAAAACCAAATCAAGGATACATTGAAAGAACCATCGATTAGTTATTAATCCTGTCATAATAATTTTTAAATCAACAAATAAAGAAAGAGAAAATATTTATTTCGTCTAAAACATATAGATGAATAAATAAAAAGAAACTCAAAGAATATAAAGACTTTATTGGCTATCTAATGTCAGTGTAAAATTGCTGCTATAAAATATAATAAATTTGTTATATATACACATATATATTGATTTATGATTGGATAATGCCACATTTCCAGTGTATCTTACCTTTTAATATAATATTTGTATTTTATTAAAGAAAAAAATGAACAATATTTTGAAGTATTTTAACCCTTAACCTAAGCTAAATGGTTAAAAAAAGTAATTCAAAATTCATTAACAAAAACTAAAAATGGTTAAAAGTCATTTTAATAATTTAGATATATTTTTACAGTATTATTTGACTTGAATTTTGGGTTAAAAATAAATAATAAAACCAAATTAAATTAAGTTATTTTTCATAATTAAATATAAATTATATTTAAAATTAATTATTAATCAATAAATATAATTTAGTATTTTTTAGATTATTTTATAGTTTAATTATATTTTTTACAATGTATTTATATATTAAATATAATAATAATTCTATATTATAATTTTTAATTATAAAATTAAGTAATTTATTTATAAATATGGAAAAAAAAAACTAAGAATATACATTAAAAAAAAGTGTTTATATAGGACATGCATTTTTGCAGATGATAATGATAATGGCAACCCAAATGTTAATTATCATCTTCACCTCAAATATGTTATTGACATGTTTTATTTCTTGAATAAGAGTTTCCAAAATTGGTATTTATTTATTTATTTTACAAAATTCATTTTGAAGTAAATAATTTATGTTTGGATAATTTTACGTTGAAGGAAATTTGTTGAAATTTCACTGTGAATGTTTTATTATAAAAAAGTCTTCACAAATTTTTTTATAAAAAATCGTTTTACAATTTTTAAAAAATAAAAATATTATACTAACAAAAATTTCAAACTTCAATCTAAATTAAATATTAAAATATTAATTTTATTTAGTCCATGTTTTATATTAAATAAAATTAAATTCCATTTAATTTTTATATTTTTTCAAATAATAATAATAATAATAAAATTCGGAGTATATATAAACTTTGATTTTGAAAGATCAAAATATCAGCTCAAGGCATTCTTTTTATACTGTAGATTTATTTATTCACAGTTTCATATTTTATATTAAAAGATACTTATTACCTTTTAGAAAAAAAAATTAAGATAATATTTCCACTAACAAATGCATGCTACAAATGAATGAATCCAGCCTTAAAGGAGCAGGATCATTGTTTTTATAAAGTGTAACTTAATACATACTAGAGTGCGAAACTCAATCCCTATCTCATTTTTTATTGATCTAAATAAAAAAATATTAAACTTATAATAGGTCAAATTTTACAATTGGATAATATATGAGCTAATCCGTGGTGGACAGACGGTCCAATTGATCTTAAGACATCAATTACATTAAAAAAAAAAAAAATCGAGTATCTAGGTTAAAGAATTTTAAGAAAAAACAAATACTAGATTAATTTGTTCATTCCAGTAGAAATGTACATTTTACCATTAAAGTAAAAAATCGTAATTTTTTT